TGTGTGAATATATGTATGTGTGTGTGTGAGTGAGAGAGAGAAAGAGAGAGAGAGAGGAGAGAGAGAGAGAGAGAGAGAGAGAGAGAGAGAGAGAGAGAGAGAGAGAGAGAGAGAGAGAGACCTTACTTTTGTGTTTTCATTATACTGGGAAAATTAAATGACTTAATGACTAAAAATTCTCCTCTCTGCCTCTTTGTTTTAATTACAGGATTTGAGAATAGATTGCTTATCTATTGGGGGGAAAGGCTTATTAAGGGGCTTTTGCTTGAGTTACATGTCCCCAGAAGTCTCAAAGGATCCTAGTTTGTGAGGGGGAGTTAGGTTGCCTTCTATATTATTTTACCCCAAGAGAATCTACCCATAGTAACTACCACAAAGAGATAGTTTTTGAAGATTTGATCTGTGTGTTTGAAATATGACAGCTATTGACAGCAGGGGTGAAATGAAAGCAAGTTAGATGCCTGTACCCTCTAGTCTGTCATTAGTAAAGCTAGCTTACATTCCCTATTAATTCTGTGTGTGTGTGCGCGTGCGTGTGTGTGTGTGTATGTGTGTGTGTGTGTATGTGTGTGTGTGTGTGTGTGTGTGTGTGTGAAGGGAATGAACCCAGGGCTACAAACATATGGGGCATGCAAGCTTACTGCTGAGCCACATCCATGGCCCCAGATTAACTTTTGCCTTGGAACCTTGTGTGTTTTTCCTGCTGATACAATAGCAATTTGGCAAGAAGCAATTATGCTGAGCTCAGGCAGTCTAGCTACAGGAAGTCAAGATGAGTTAAGATAGAGCCAAGACTCTAAAGCTCTCTGTTTAATGATTTTTGGGGGTGGGAGTTAGAAACACAACCCTGAAGACGAATAAGGAAGTTCAGCTAATTTGTGCTTATGAAAGAGCAGCCTACAAATCAGGCAAGTATAGCCCAAATGGCTGATTAGGAAATAAAATAAAAATGGAAGTCTTGGAGATGTTGATGGAACTTTCTCCAGTCATTATTTGGTTATCATTGCGTATCGGTACATAATTAGCACGGTGCTTTGTCAGGATTACCCTTTAAAGTGCATAGGAAAACTAACCAACTTTCAGTTCAAGCATGGGCTAATGGACTTAGGTGATAGGTAGAGGTTATTTAATTAATTTATTTATGTTGACCTTTTGGGTCACACCTGGCGATGCACAGGAGTTACTCTTGGCTTTGCACTCAGGAATAACTCCTGGTGGTGCTCAGGGGACCATATGGGATGCTGGGAATTGAACCCGGGTCGGTCCTGTGCAAGGAAAACACCTTACCCGCTGTGCTATCACTCCAACCCCTGGGGTTATTTTAAAGCCAGGGAAGAACTTTGTTATGAAAAATCTGCGATGTCAATTTGATCTCTGCTATTTTTCTCCACTGCTGATTTTTGAAGGAACTTAGCAGCACTATGTTGGAGACAAAAAAGTCTGAGTGGTTTGGGAAACATCTGCTCTGTCCAGGCTAGATGGGCTGAGCTGAATGTATCTCATCCCTTTCACTAGTATTTCTATTACCAAATGTTCCAAGTCACTCTGTGACTACCCAAACACTAAGTCTTCCAACCAAGTTTGGACCACTGTGCCGTGCCAGCTTTGTCTGCTGCCCATTCATCACACCAGTCATTCAGAGGGAGAGATGAGAGGCTGGGCTACTGAGTTGACAAAGGAGAAATTTGACAACCAGTCTGAAAAGTTGGTGCCCACCACCAACTCCAAGAACACATGGGCAGGCTGGAAACAGATAAAGAGCCTTTCCTATTGAGTGGCTCAGAGCCTGTCCTTGTCCAAATGAATTGTGTTTGATCATGCAGAAATAAGCACTGATGCTTGGGTGCAGGGCAGACTGCTCATTTCATTATCCTGACAGGTGTTCCATTGGTCTGACCTAGTGGATGCCTATCTGGAGGAAGGCATGGAACCTCTGTGGAAGATGATGCCTAGAATCAGATTACACCCCAGCTGGTCATGACTGAGTGCTCAGACAACACTCATAGCTAATGGTAATGCTTTAGAAACATGCAAGTAATTGGAGTTAGTCCTCTTCCTCAGGCTGACCAGTGGCGATCACACACTCCCACACAGCCCATCCAAGAGGCACAGACTGTAAATAGAGTGGACCATTCGCCCATATTGCTGAGTGCATAGAGATGCTGGGTCCCCTTAATGTGGCCTGGTACATGCTGGCTGCATGGGAAATTCCTTGTCCCCTTTTGATCTCCCCCCATGCCTTGACTGACAAGGATGGGAGGGGGTGGGGAGATTCTCTGAGCAGCAGGAGTTTGGTCTTTTCCCTTCCTTACTGTTTCCTACCATTTGAGTAGTTAGGATGTCTCCTGCTGTCTAGGTTCTACAGAGATTGTGACCTGCCAGAAGCTTGGTGGGCCTCATCTTAAAGGAGTGCTGCTGATCTTCCATTCTGGATGGATTTGAAGCAATAGCATTGTGGAAAAAAAATTATCTTAGAGGTCAGATACAGACAACCTGCATTTGGTGGCCTGGAGCTCTCCATGAGGTGAGAAAGGCACGTTAGAATTAGAAGGAAATTCAGGCTTTCCAGGTCCATGATAAAGAAACAAAATCATGTCTAATGTATTTGGCTAGTGTTGACATTTTAGAAATTCAGTAGCATTTCCAGCTATTATCATGGTTATTTCAGGGATGTCCTGTTAGGGTGTTGGGGAACAGTAACTATTTGAAGGCTTTAAAGCCATTATCATTTCTCATTGCCACACTTCTGGTCCAAGGCTCTGCTAGGCTGCTCACTCTCCTTTGCTCTGTTTCTAGGAATTTCACTCCTCTTGTAGCTTTCTAGGGTAATGATAATAAAGGTCCAAGGGAGCTGGGCTAGCCTAGGTCAAATTGAGTAGAATCACAGTGAGAAATATACATTTCTCCATTTTTCTGTGTGGATTTGTGCCATTAAAGCTATTTTCCAATTAGGATCCTCATTCGCTGAACAAGTACTTATTAACTCCACATGTTAGGAACTGAAAAAGAAGTACACACTTGTTCCAGGACAGCTTACGGTGCAATCATAGCTGGTTTGTGTTTTTTATGAAGTCACATGGCTCACTTTGGGTTATCTTCTGCACCTTGAAGTTCTGGCAGATGGGGAGGTAGAGTTGCCATCTGTCTCTATTTTTCTAACCCCTCCACAGGACATTGCAAAGTGGGCACTGCAGGGACGTACTATACTTCCAACTCTGTTATTTCACCCAAATGCTTCTGTTTCTCTGCCCAGATCTCTGGCAATGACAGGAGGGACTGGCGGAGGTCTCTGGCTGATGCCTGCCTGCGCTTTGGCTCTTTGAAAAAGAAAAACATGACTAGACTTGAAGGGTTGCTGGGTAAGGAGATTCTGTTGGGAAAGGAAAGTTTCAGGAATTTTTGGCATATGGAATCAGCACTTCTTTCTTCAGCTAACCAGTCTGCCTGTGCCACTGAGAGAACATCACTCAGAGGCTGGAGTCTGACCTCACCATTAGTTTGGGATATGACTGGAGGCTGAGTTCAGGGTTTCCATAGAGTCGGGAACTGTGGTTCTTTGCCACTGTGTCCCAGAGGCTGATAGACCATGGCATACCATGGGCACTCAGTATATACTTTCAGAAAACAAACATGCAAGAGAAAGCAAATAATCTAAGTGTAGACTGTGAAATATGTGGAGTGTAGTCAGAGAGCTGAGGGTGATTCTTAGTTTTGCTGTTCAATGATCATATAAACAAGTTTCTTAAATTTGCTGAGTCTCAATATCCTCATGTCTAAAATGGGGACAATCATACTTGCCTCCTAGCAGTACCATAAAGATGAGATGTTGCAGGGGCCTGGGCTATGGTACAGTGGGTAGAGGATTTGGTTGCATGTGGCCAACCTGGGCTCAATCCCATCATTCCATTGGGTCCCCCAAGCACTGCCAGGAGTGATTCCTGAGTGCAGAGCCAGGAATAAGCTCTGAACACTGCTGGGAGTGGTTCAAAGACAAAAACAAAAACTCAAAACCAAGATGAGGTGCTACAGAGAGGGCAGTGACTCTAGTTACAGGGCAGGTTTAGGGAGTTTTTTTTTTTTTAATTACCAGAAGAATGCTGGGTGGTTCATCACAGAGGTTGGTCTTTGGTACACGCATGTAGCCTTAGCAAGTTTTCATAAGAGTGAAGAAACCAGCCTAGGATGTCCCAAAGCTGAGTCTGCCATAGCAACCTCTCTAGATTGGGGCAGAGTACCCGTGTCCCTCAACTCACTTCACTAGGTCTACACACCCCTCACTCTAAGAGTTCAAAGGTTCATGGGCTGGTGATGTCAGAGGAAAATGCACTTTTATATTGAGCTCATCACCAAACTTGGTGAGTGAAGCAGAGAAGAGGCAAGGGTGTGTAGGGACAGACAGCACTTACAGGAGCAGAGTACTCTTACGACCACATACAGATTTAGAGAAACTGCCCAGAATGTTGTGGGGGGAACTAAGGCACTTAGAATTTTGAAATCACTATTCAGATGAGTCGTTTAGCAAAATATTCTTCTACTATGAACTGTGGCATAAGTAGAACTGACCCTGAGTTATGTGTGGATTTTTGCAAATGCTCCAAGTCTACGCTATTTCTACCACATGAGCAAGTGTGACGGATTATAACTGAGAAAGGTATTCTTAGGGGATAGTGGTGATTCTGCACTATTTTATTTAAAAAGTCATGATATTTTATCTTGGATTCTAGGTTAGTAGTAGCATATTGCTGTGATACATCTGAGAACTGATCATGACACACCCATTTGTTTGGTATCCAGAGCAGAGAAACAGTGGATTAGAATATTTTTTTAAAAGTTTTGTCAGTTTCCCAGTTTGGTTTTGTTGGTTGCTATGTGTTAGAACTTGCTCTCTGAGAGGGAGATTCAGTTTAAAAGCAACAGCCTTCATTGGGTGGAGTGGGGTGGAGAATGAGGGTGACCTAGAGTTTAAGAATTTTCAACGTCTTCTTTTGCCAGTAACTCACCTACTGCACACATCATTTCCAACCATGGCGTAGATGACAATGGCTGGATGGTCCAACAGTTGGTTCCTAGACAAACTGAGAAATCACAGCAGACAATTGAATGTCAAACACTTGGAAATTTAGTGCTGTAATTAGCATTGCAGGCAGGTCCTGTGAAAGAACCATTCTCACCAATCCCTTGGGGAACATTTTCCATTTTTCCTTTTATTTCAGTGTCTAGACTACTGTTTTCCCCAATCTATAACCTCTGTCTCTCATATGGCAAGGGTGCATAATGCATAGAATGTAAAAGAGTGTACTAAAATATTAATCGGAGATATATCACATCTTCTTAGCCTCCTTCAGAGAATTTACCATCAGTAACCACAGGTGAGTTACCTGGGTACTTATATTCAAATCAGCGGGAAACAGTGACAAATGAGACTCTACTCAGTCTTCTTCAAAATGGCAAGAGTTTCCCCAGATGCCCATTCTGGACCCCCAAGAACTGGAGTCTAAATTTTAAGTCCAAAATAAACACCATATATTTCTTATTAATAAAGAATGAATAGGAAAAATTACTATATATATACATATATATCTAATCTTTTTTTTTGTTCACTAGCACAAGAAGTGAGAAATGCCAGTGTCTGTCTAGTTACTGAGCTACAGATGTGCTATGTAGTGACCGTGGATTAACACTGAGCTTTCATTCATCTTTCAAAATCAAGAAACCAATTAAAAAATAAACTTATTATATTACTTTTACACTTACCTTTCTATAAATGACTCCAAATTTTGAGATGATGCACCTGAATATTAAGATTGATAAAATAATCATAGTATAAGAGTGTGTTGGCAGAAATCAGGAAAGATGCATTATTATGCAGTCAGAGATCATTCAGACTATCACACTGTTGGGAACACTGTGGAAATCTCCCTAAGAAGGTTCACATTTACTTGGCATCATGACCCAAAATTCTCTGGACATACTATTCTCAGGATGTTGCCTAGCATGAACAAGTAAACTTTCAAATAGACGTGAGAAAAAGGTATATATAAATTACCTGAAATTATCCTAAATATTAAGGAATGAGTTGATAAACAGTACCAGCATTAGGAAAGGATTCATTGAAAATAATCAGTCTTTCTTGAGAGAATTGGAAGCCTTACTAAATACCCACCTGGTGCTCCTGGCCACTGCTGTCTGGAAGGAAATGAACAGAGGACTTCATAAACAAGGACTATATCTGTCAGGCATACACATAACTGAGCACTAACAGAGAGTTTTTTTTTTTAATCTGTGATATTTGAAAAGTTTTAAAATTAAATTTTTTTTTTTTTGCTTTTTGGGTCACACTCAGCAATGCTCAGGGGTTACTCCTGGCTCTGCACTCAGGAATTACTCCTGGAAGTGCTCGAGGGACCATATGTGACACCAGGGATCAAATCCAGGTCAGTCGCATGCAAGGCAAAAGCCCTACTCCTTGTACTATTGTTCCGGATTCTGTAATATTTTTAAATTATCCTAATTTTTATGATGATGTAATTTATAAATTTGTGCTAATGTCATATATCTTCTACAATAATGAGTTGGTCAAAGACTGTTATCAATTAAACATACAAGAAATTTTTCTGGTATATGTATTTGAATGGCTGTTTAAACGTCAATCCTGAATTATTTTGTAGTCTGACTCTTGTAAAGAATACACGAGCAGTTTGCCATGCTATCTCATCAAGCTGAATCTTAAAAACATCCGACATTTAAGATGTAAAAAGTGTTTGATATTCTTTGATATTATACATAAGTCACACCAAAATTCTTTCCATTAGGTAAAAGGCAGCATTTTAAATATAGAAAATCTTCATTATATTGGTATAGTTAAGATAAATAAAGGGGTCACTGTCAACTATCCTCAGCCTTTTCCTTTCCCAGACTCCTGAATATAACTTGAAACACAGACAAATCTTCCTATGTTCTAGGAGACAGTACAGGGTTCCTCAATATCTAGATGCTATATTATAACCAGACATATGTCTACATAGAAAAATAATCTCCCCAAGGTCTGAGATGGCATTTTCATATCCGAAAAGTGGAGCATGACTAATGAAGTCCAGTCATACCTTTAGAAGGGACAGCAATAATTGTACTGACTGACCTGGAGTTATTATCAAAGTTCAAAAGGACTGATCAGATTTGCTTTTCCAAGCCTGAGTTCTCCTTGAATACTTCACTCTCCTTTTCTACTTTTCTACATGCTGGAGGAACCCATTGTTGAAGACAGATAGGTAGGGAGTCCCTGAAGATTTTTTTTTTTTTTTGGGAAATGATAAAAGAGATTGCCTAAGGGCTGGAGCCATAGCAAAGTAGGGAGGGCATCCCATAGGGTCCCCCAGAACTGTCAGGAGTAATTTCTGAATGAACAGCCTGGAGTAACCCCTGAGCACCTCCCAGTGTGGACCCCAAACAAAAACAAAAACAAAAACAAAAACAAAAAACAAAACAACAAAAAAAGAAAAGGTTGCCTACTCTGAAGCAGCCCAAAGGCATGAAGACAACATCTCTTTGAAAAGCAAATCCGGAGCTCTTTGGAGATCAATGGAAGAAACCGATACACCATTCAAGAAAGGGTGAACCCTCTCCCAAAAGAAGTAGCTACAGAAGAATCTATGCTATTATGAAAATACATCAGCAGAGCAAGGGGTGAGATTATGAGAAGACCACAGTGCAAGGCTTTCCCATGACAATACCAATATGTTTTCAGAGAACACCAGGAAAAACCCAATTTGGAGGAATTGTATAAAAGTGCCTCCCTAAGCCACTTGGGGCTTGCTCCTTGAAACCCCTGTTTTTTTTCTCTCTCTCTCTCTTTTTTAAAAAACTTTTTTATTGAATCACTGTGAGATAGACCCTTACAAAGCTGTTCATGTTTGGATTTCAGATTGGATTTCAGTCATACAGTATTCCAACACCCATCCCTCTGTCAGTGTACATTTCCCAGCACCAGTGTCCACAGGTTCCCTCCCATCAATGCCCCTCAACCAGCCTTTTTTTTTCTTTTTGGGTCACAACCAGCGATGCTCAGGGGTTATTCCTGGCTCTGCACTTAGGAATTACTCCTGGCGGTGCTCGGGGGACCATATGGGATGCTGGGAACCGAACCCGGGTTGTCTGTGTGCAAGGCAAACGCCCTACCCACTGTGCTTTAGCTGCAGCCCCCAAACCCCTGTTCTCTCTTGAACAGGTATTTCCTTTCTTCCTCTCCCCACACTCTCCTAAGTAAATTTCATTCAAAGATCTTGTTTCATTATTAAAAAAAAACTTGATCATATTTATTTGGCCACAAACCAATCTTATTTAATCAGAGATGTCCAACAAAAAACATGCTATCAGCCACCATGATCTGATTCTGGTGAAGGAGATGGATTTACATATGACCCACACAGAAAAGCCATGAGTCATTAAAGTCAGGTGCCAACTATGACTCAGTAGGAGTTTCTTGAGGCAAACTAGCAAATTTTCTCTTCCAGTCATTTTCTTAATGCCTGTGAAGATTTATTTGGAGCCAAGGATGAACTTCTTGGGCATCTCCAAATGTTCCTCTAGTCTTTCCTCTCAAGAGGGTGCCTTAGTCCTGGTTGAAATCATGTTTGTGAATCCAGACTGACCATAGAGATTGGACCTGGTCTGTACTTGCCTTCCTTCTCCACTCCGCTAAACAAAAATCTTCTTGCCCTTCTCAGTATTACCCCTTTTATTTAAAAAATTTCCCTTATTTCTTTTCACTCTTTTAATTGATTGAGGTACTGTGGTTTATAATTCTGTTAATGTTGATTTCCCATATACATAATTTTAACAACACACCCCTCTTATTTCCCCAGGACCCCAATGCCCCTCCCTTTCAAATTTTGCCTCCTCAGCTGAGTCTGAGCTGTAAGGATCAATTCTCCTGTTGTGTTGCTGGTGACCCTGTTGCTCCCTTACTGGGAATCTTTAAGTCTCACATATGAGTGAGATCATTTTTTTATCTATCCCTTTCCTTTTGACTGACTTCACTTAGCATGATCCCCTGTAGTTTCATTCACATTGCTGCAAATTGCATGATTTTGTTCTTTCTTAGAGCTGTATAATATTCCATTTTGTATATATCCTACAACTTCTTCATCCACTCATTTGTCGTTGGGCATTTGGGTTATTTCCAATATCTTTGCTATTGTTACTAAGCATTGTGATGAACATAGATGTGCATATATCATTTTGAATTAATGTTTTTGTGTTTTGAGGAGTATCGCACAGAGGTAGGGCGTTCGCCTTACAAGCGGCCAACATGGCCGACCTGAGTTCGATTCCTCCGCCCCTCTCGGAGAGCCCGGCAAGCTACCGAGAGTATTCGATATGCCAGACACAGTAACAACAAAGTCTCCAATGGAGACGTTACTGGGCCCGCTCGAGCAAATCGACGATCAACGGGAGGGCCTTTACCTTTACCTTATCATCCATGTTTAAATCTCTCTTTTGTCTCACATGGCATGGAAGATCTTTCTTGCAAGTTAGACATTCTGCTCTTTCCTGAGTACTGAGAGAGGTTTAATGCAGACTTGAGTCCAACGTTTCAAAAGAGAAAACACCAATTTGATTTTAACTCTGTTATCTCTGCTCAGAAAAAGTGCCAGATTTTACAACCCTGAGTCTTGAGCAGAGAGACTCAAAAGTCCTTCTGGGTATTACATTGTACCCTGTTGTTCTCAAAAGGACAGAGGAGGAAATAGGCCTTGTGTGAGACACAGTTTCCTATAGTGGCTCATGCATCCATTTGGCACCTCATCCACTAGCAGCACAACTCTTAACTTCCATTAGGCAAGATGATAAATCAGAAGGTGTTTAATTTTCACTCTTTGATTTTTCCTCTTAATGAGAAAGGAAAACTAATGAGGGAGCTCAAGCCATGAGTGGGAAAAAATTAAAGGGCCAGGTCAGGCCAATAATTTTCCTCATTATGCAAAATACAAAGGGAATTTGAGGTGTGGAACAAACATAGAGCTTAAGGAAAATGAAAATGAAAATGAAAACCTGTCATGACATACCCTCCGGGGACCCCATCCCCTATGCCCATACTACCCACATGCTTTGTTGTTTAGGACAAGGTCAGACCAAAGGTAACTAACTTGTCATAGCAGGTTTTAGAAGAGCTGGCACACAAATCCACACAAGGAGTGGGACAGTGCCTGCTCTTTGTTTCTGGGGGGCCACACCTGGCAATATTCAGGGGCTCAGTGCTTGGGAGTCACTTCCAGAGGACTCAGGGACAGAGCCCAGGCCTCCAGTCTGCAAAACAAACCCTTCCACCCACTGAGTTCTTTTTGGCCGCATGCCTGCTCCTCCCCCCCTCATGCAAATGTGATTTTTTTTCCCTTGGTAGTTATTTACAATGTGCACCTCAAACTCTCTGTTTCAAATCTCTTGTGTCTCTCCCTATTTCCAGTTCCTCTGGGGAATCTATCTTTATGAAATAATGTAATTAGTTTATATAACCGCATTCCTTTCTCTTTTTAATTCTACTGTCCTGCGATTCTGCTATCTTTTTTGCCAGCCCTGTCAACACATTCTCTTTCCCTCCCAATGCTTTAGTCTTTCTTCTGCTTGTAGATTTCTTCTCAACTGCTGATTTTATTGTTGCTACTGCTGCCATGACAGAAAATCCAATGCAGGAGGAGCTGGAGATTAGAGCAGGAGAGAAAAGCAGCTTCTGGCCTGTGGGATGTGTCCAGCAAGCAAAATCTGAAGATCTGATGTGGCCCTTAAGAGATACAG